CTGTGTCCACCTAAACAACCCAAGTCTGTATGTTCAGAAGATATTTCTACAGCCTCTTTCTTTGCCTTGGCCATCTGTATAGCTTACCTATCAAAACTAGACCCTTCCTTTCATTCATCCCACAAATGATTATAACTAATATTTTGATATCTCTATTATTATCATCATCGTTTTGATTATCGTTATTATTATTATTGTCATTATTATTACAGTTTTGGCCATCTTGTTCTCCCCCTGCTGTCTCTAACTACCGTCAACAATTTACCAATTGACGTAACAATTCATTTTCTTTCCTCGTTAGTTGCTATTATACAAAGCATCAATTGCACAACAACCTGTTTGAAATTTTACAAAATCTTTCTACTATAATTAATCTATGATTTAGTTGTTGTCTCAACTACCTGATCAATTACCACCGTTATGATACTTTGAGATTGATAACCTGTCGTTAAACAACTCTCACCACTAGGTTGGTATGTAATTTTATGTTTTGGAAATGCTATGTATTAGTGTAGAGCCATCGATGAGGAACTTAATGTTTGCGCACTGCCGAGGAGTCCCACGCTTGGACGAAACAGCTGTCGAGTGTTTCTTCAACTCATCTAGCCCATGATGAATACCAACATGTCGAACATTCGTTATGCTTAAGGATTTTGAAAATACACAGGATAGAGAGCTAACATTTTCACGTAAAATAACATTAGTAAACGACTATCCACTTGGATTCACTGGCTATAACTTAGAAGAAAAGGCACAAATATAAAATTTACCGACCACCTCAAAGAAAACTCTTCATACGAGCCTGAAATTCATAGGCGATTTTGCAGCTGAAATCCTAAAAAACCGTTTCTCAAGACCTTTAAGGGAGACATTTCATACAACTAGGCTGAAAATCACGTTCTTGCTTCAGTTTATTAAGGACAGAAGAAAGCTTTAGCCACATTGTCTATCAGTTTACTTGTCCATGTGGAGCAACGTAAATCGATTGTACAAAGTATCAAGTCCATAAACTTATTCTGGAGTATTACCCATCGTGATTAATCACAGCAAACTGAACAAATATTAACAGTTCCATTATTGAACACTGTGTCATCTCTGGACATCTGCCCTCTCTTAATTGTAGATTCAAAGTAATTTACAGAATGCCTTATCTCAATTTCGAAGAATTTTGACTGTTTCATCCACGCACACCTGCATTCGGCGATTCACAACTTTAAACTCAACCTTTGTTCAACTCAGTTATGGCGACAGAAAGTTCAAACTTCTATCATTTATCACTTGAGAGGGTTGATGGGAGATCTCCACTCCCCTTTGAGTATGTTTAGACAGTGACCACGCGATAGTTCGAACATCCTAATATCTGAACTTAATTGTATGTATAAAAACTACAGCAACCAAACCATCACGATTGCAGATCGATGATGGGAATACTACAAACGCCTTCAACAAAGAACTGACTGGAAAGTTATTAAAGCATCATAATGTCAGTCACTCAGTAGAAGTCTGTCATCATCGTCAGCCTGCTGTAGAAAACAGTGGTAAAGACCATAACTAACTCGCAGAAAGACGTTGGAAAGAGTTAGCGAATGCAATCAACTCCTGAATCAATGCATTTGCATGAACACATCCCTGCAGACTCCACTCGCATAATGCGAGGAAACAATTCAAATGCAGACTGATGAGAAGTCTACGTAATGACCGTGAGTACTGCAGTAAGAAAAGCAACGATGAGAGGTAACAGTAGACAGTTATTTAGACTGATCAAGAAAGCTGGGAGGGGGTGGGGGGTTAATGTTTAGTGATAATATAGCAAAGGATAAGTGCATGATTTACCCACGGGAAAGACGACTGAAACAACGGATGGATCACTTCAAGGAATAGCTCAACTGGAATCTATCTACTATTCTGCTGCTAGTCATGAAGTTGGATCCTGAATGATAAATTGAAGTAGGGCTTCCAACTTCTGCAGAGACTAGAAAGGCTGTAAACATTATCAAACGAGGAAGGCAGCAAAACTAGACAGGCTAGTACCTGAGGTAATCAAAGATGGCGAAGGAATACTATTGGTCAGGTTGGATGGTAATCAGATACAATGTCCTCCGACTGCTCTCAACCTATCTGCCTTCAAGAAAAGAGGAAAAGTCTCTTACGGTGATCACAGCAGAGTTAGTCTCACGAAGATAGTCTAAGATCCCAGTTTCTTTAATTACTAGACATTTAAACGAAGCTCAGGAGCAGACCTGGTCGCGACACATTAACCAACAGCCACACTAAACAGCGTCAGATACTATCTGTATTTCTTGACTTGAAGGTAGCATTTGACTCCGACCACTGAGGGCTCTCACGAATGTCTCTCACTGAAAGGGATATTCGGTTAACATCCTGTACTCGAACATTTGTGAGCATATCAAAGGTTATGAAGTTATCAGTCAAATGGTATCCGTGAAAGATATCCCATCTCTCCATCCTTATTTAATTGATCAATGAAATACATAAGGTCTCTCTCACCACCCAGCTTCACTGAGATTGACCTTGTCACAGGAGACTCCTTAATGAGTACAGAGCACCCATATTACAAAGTCCTGTTAGGTGAAGATGTTGACAACATGCAGTCTTCTGGACATCTTGAATGGCAATTTGAGAATGTTTAAGATGCGTTTCTAACCACTCAAACGCAAACTGTTTCTCTATGACTGACATAAGTTAGCACCCCCTACAACAGTAGGAAGTAAGCTGGTTGGGCGTGTTGACCGCACAACTTATTTAGTAAGTCGTATCAACCCCGATGGGTTAATGATGGACGAAATGTCTGCACAAATATAAAGGGTTTATCTAGCTTCCGCCAACTTATGTCATTTATGACGCCGGTGAGATCGTCTATTTAAAGGCCGAGTGCACTGAGCTGCTGTTTCCTCTCTTCTACTACAAGGGTACCAAACAATAGAAGATATGAAGTTTCAGGTGTTTAACCATAGTTGCCTTATGTTACGGTACAACTACATAAGTAACATGAAAATCACTGGTAGAGTTTTAAGCGGAAGATAGTCAATTTATGAGGTTGAAAATTGTTACCGACAGTGGTGGCTGGGATATATGCTATGCCCACCTAAACACCGCCTCACACCACGTTGACTGAATCAGGTTCGGGCTGGATTGAAGTTAGAGACAACCAAATTAAAATATGACATCAGTCCCTGAAGTTTTTTACTTTTAATCTAAGTTATATCGGGAAGTGTGTAGATTTGCCGGTTAGGGTTCCCAAGACCACCGAAATTAATGGCTGGAGACCCTGGTTGGTATGGCTCAGATATGATCGCAATGGCATGGATGTACCTACACATTATCGTTATCTTAAAGGTCATACTGAATTTCACTGTTGTCTCATCCCCCACCCATCTTTGTTCATGACTTTTTATCACTTTTGGTTACCTCCTTCTTCATTGCTCCGTCTTTCATCGTAATACATACTAGCTTGATGTGCTGGTACGAAGCGTAGCAACCCGGACAGTAACACAGTATAGCTAGACCCTAAGTTAATATTGACTGAGTAGTTCTTCAAAAACATTACGTGAACTCAATAGCCTTACCATGATCACAGTAGTAACTTCGTTTTACCATTACAAACGTTTTACTATACTCTTGAACAAAATAAGAATCATGTGACCCTATCGACTACTAAGGGACTGCTACTTCTTTCCACTGATTATAAATACGATGGTACAGCAAATGAGATCGTCGAAAAGACATTTCCCTTCGCTGTAACATCTATGACATAATGTGAGGATTCCTCGTTCGTAACATAAACGAATGGTTGTAGACTCTTGGTTACATGGCTGAAAATCAATAATAATGATGCTGAAGTATTTATTCTTCAACGTCTTCAAAATCTAGAATATTTTCACTAACTTTCAGTTTTAGATTTTCTCCTTCTCATACATTTTTGTTTACTTTGATGTCGCTCTTCCATTATCAATTCCTTGTTTGAATACTGCTGTGAAGTGTAGCAGTTTGAAGCAATTTACCTCTGTATGAGGTTCTACGTTGACTACGTTTGGCTGTCTGTTGATAAAACTGTCCTTGTATAGACAGACGACTTAGCAATACCACTGAACTGATTATGTGCTGAAATTGACAATAGGCGTCGACTTGCAGGTCGTTTGCGGAGATCCAGTGCTTATTAGTGGATGGTTCACTGAAGTTACAAGTAGTAAAATTCGTAATTCTTGTAGCATCTTGTAAAACAGCGTTTGTTTACTTGCTTTGGACGACTGGCAGATAGCTGAGTTTATCTCGTTTTAATACAGGCGATTTTCTTACGCCGGTTTCTCTAGAATGGCGACTTTTAGCACTACCCAAACTTAACATTAACTTAGCACACAAGGAATCACGATAAAAGTTTAAATAGGAAGTCCATAAAACCAGTTAGTACAAGGCAACGACTTCGATATGAGTTCATGTTGACTACAAATGGGTTGTGATTCACACAGAACTCCCGGAGATGATATCCATTGTTTGGTGATAAGCACAAATGAAACATACTTCTGAAGTCACAGATGATGAACTCATTTGAAGTTATTTACTAAAAATTTGCACACCGTACATCAATGCAGAGATTTCCAAGTTCAAGGTGCAGACGTTGACGGTAGCGGTCTGCAACACTACACGTGATTTAAGAATAGCTGTTATATATGACACTGGGAAAACAATTTCCTAGTAAGCCGAAACGACAAAGACAGATCAGATGTTCAAATAACACCGACCAGCTGAGAGGAATAAAGACAAAAGTAAAAGATAACAATAAAACACCATGCAGTTGAGATACATATTATAATAATAATAATAATATAATGACGGGGATTTCTACAACTGCACAATTGTTTGACACAGTAGGTTTGATTTTTTCCGGGGCTAAACTGGAAGTTCAGAATTTTTTATCATAAAATACACCTTCATCTGTGTGAAAATTGATATACGACATGGGAGTCCAAAAACGAACTAGGTGGTGGTTATCTTACGTGAACGCTCCCTGAGCTTTTTAATTCAGTTTGAACCCATAAAAGGGGAAATAGTCAGAAACAGCAATTCCGAGATATTGGTGTTTCTCAGTTATTGCTAAATACCATGAATTGAAAGTTACGAGATCACTAGATTATGCCTTACATAAACTTAGTGACACCTTACGACCGTTCGAATCACGTCTTAGAACCTGGAAATGACAATTCATATGGTGTTACCCATACCGACCAACAGCTGAACTGTAGTGGATAATATTCAATGCCAACTTTTTGACGGGCTTTGAGTAAGATGCTCATCTGTTAAAAAAAAACTGATTGTATTTACACCAATGATACTTAACGCCTATTGAATAGAATGTATTGCATAAAATTCTGTATTCAGTATGCAATTAGCAGTTGGTAATTAGTTAAAATAGAGCAGACTTATTTACTTCTTTCCATTTTTATAAATCCTGAACATCTTGTTATTAGCACTTTTCTCCCCAACCACCTCGTACCCCCTTATTCATTTTTCCTAATCAGTTTTGAGACTTGTCCATATTCAAACTTATGCACTTTTAAGTAATGCTCAAAGCTGTACTGTCTCTCTAAAGTAAAGATACAAAGTGAAGCGTCAATTCCAATATCAAAATACAAACGGTTGAATTTCATTAAATGTATTCGACTATTCAATTACGATGTCCACTGACAACTAGTAATTGAGTCATTCAATAGAATAATAATAGCTCAAAATAATTCCATCTTCATTTCGAGTTGTTAACATGAAGACAAGAAATACAGAAAATAATTCACTTCAGAATAATTACATGATAATAACTACAATGGTAATAAAGATCTGGGCATAGAGAACCAAGTTTAAGTTAAATATGCTGGAAATAATGTATGAAAAACTAAGATGAAGCTTCTCCTACCTCTTAATGAGAAATCAGAAATTTGTGAAACTCGATATTTTTATACTAAACCAAGAAGAAAAATAACCTAAACAGTCTCCCGAAGATTACGCACATGGGAAATATGCAGTAAGTAAGGAAAGTTAAAAGTTACAGATTGTGTGGGAATGTGAGTATGAAGCTGTACAATGAAACTTATTCGTCTAAACTCACTCTAGTTTGTAATCCAAGACATTACGAAGTACGATTAGTAACTTTCGAGTCATCATTAGCAATGGACTCAGTGTCTTCGAATGCGGTGGTAACGTTTGGTCTGTAACCAGGTTTCACGTACACTTTATCATCAGTTGATGGTGGAGGCCAAAGATAGAGAAGGTGTTCATAGAGACAGCGAATTCCAAAAATGAACAATGCTTGTAGAGCATATTGAGCTACAAGAGCACCAAAACCTCTATAAAGTCCCAAAAATCCAACAGGCAAGTCCAAAGTAGAACGTAGTGCGTCAAAGAAGCCATCATATGATGATACAATGGGAACAACCACATCACCAGTATCCATATTATCAACCAAAGTACGAGTCCCCTGCACACACAAACGAAGTACTAATGTTTCTACCGGATAAAGTATAACATCTGCTGCAAAATTAGCCGTCATTCCAACTAGCAAGTCAGTGTAGTAACGATTGTAAATAGCCTGCAACGCAGTATCTTGACGTTGATAAGCCAAAGTAGCCATATCGGTTGTATGACGTTCACTGGCAGAAGGCGCATTAATACTTGGCGTTGAATAATGTGTAGCATATCCCGGAGAAAACTTGTTCTGACTGAAAACCCCGGTCTAGAATTTATTTGGGAAAATAATTTTCATTCAGAAAGCATAGAAGAAAGCTCTCAAGTTCAAACGAAGACAAGGAGAAAAATAACTTTTACAAAAGTTACAAGTAGAGAAAAACCACGAAAAATAAGTGATGCGGGTGAAAGATTCGCAAACTGCTATACAATGTGAAATGAGGACTTTACAAACTAGTGTAACCAAACAGATAACTAGCATAATCGCTTCCCACAACACCAAACTGTTACCATCAGAAATTGTTTCACAGCTAGACAGTAACAGGGTATGATTTTTAACAATAAGCACAGATACTGAATTGCGTAGTATGCCATTTTAGCCGGAATGCCTTGACATGATCGAAGGTGAGATAATCCCGGTCACCCTCTCGAAAAACTCGCACATGTTTCATCATCATCATCATCATCATCATTATCAACATAGGACCAGGCATTACTACGTAACGGTCCGAGTTGCCACACCTCATATCAGCACATCAAGTAAAAAGGTAGTGAGGTGAAGGATTAAGATAAGTGAATGCGGTCAAAAGAAATATAAAGTACGAGAAGAAAGGAAAGAGGAGTGACAAAATGGTGAGATTCGGTATAGTGTTGTTAAGATGAGGATAATATGTGTATACATCTGCGCCACTGACTTCGGTTCTGAGCCATATCACCTAGAGTCTCCAACCGCTGGTTCCTCTTGTCCCGTGGACCCCAACCACCTAGTCTGCATCGTCCTACATGGCTTAAACCAACAGTCAGAGACTTCATACATTGGTGCCATGTTTTAGTCTGGCCACCTCGGGCCTTTTTCCAGCCTGAACCCACCTCAGCCAACATTGTGTGACGAGGCAATCGGTGACTAGGCATACGTAGTACGTGTCCCAACCAGCCATCTCAGTCGATGAAGGTTCACAACCTCGTCGACTGACACGTTCACGTTCATAACACCTGCCAGGGAAGTTCATATAACAATGAAGGGTGAAAGTAAATGTTGGGCACTATTACCGAATATGTGCACATGGAAAGTACACCTAGGAGAGTTGGAATACCCTGATTCCAAACCAGTGTTGCACATGGGCCGAACCATCCAAAATGGAGGAATGACGTATGAACCTACCCTGGTCATCTGCTACCATGAGGACGCAGCAACTAACGTCGTTTCACAGCCTTATGGATCGAAAGTCATGTCAAAGGCCCAAGAAATGGTACCTTAAGACAACCATCTGCTACGTTCCGGTAATCCGAGTAGTATCACAGACCACGCACAATTTGTGAATCGTCATTATCAATGGGGACTTTAAAGCTTTCACTAAGTCTCTAAACTAGAAACAAAATCCGGTATGTACCGAACGTTTTAATTAACCGTCCGATTTGTCAACCTTACATAGTCGTTATTTTACATCCGAAGTATACTGTTTTTCGTTAAGTTTTTAAATCGCATCCAGATGCATATTCTTTTCGCTTAACAACTTATCATTGGCGATTTCGGTCTGTCTACAGCTTCTTCAGTTGCAAACAGTTGCTTCCACAAAACTGTCCTTCAGTGTGATATCTGATACAACTATTCTGAAAATGTGCACACTGTCTCAGATGGTCACCATCAACGTTCGGACTTCGATGTAGATCGGAAACTAAAGGAAAGTTTCACTGAGACTCTGAGAAGCCTTGGTACTGATATGTGCTGAGTTTTACAGAATCGCATACATTACCTCAGTGAGACATTTTGAATAACTTTCCTACGTGTCAATTCAAAAGGCGTATTCACAGTGCGCTTATCCGGGGACATTGCGGCATCAGTAGCGAGGCTTACTGGTGCTGTTGTCAAACCAAGCACCACAGCCAAAGCTGCACTAGTCCGCTGGATCCCTATCAATAGTCATCTGAGCAGCTGGGTTAAATTTTGAGTGGATTGAGAAGTAGTTGTTAGGAAAAACAACCTTCCCTCGTCAACTATCCAAAGCGGGCTAGACTCAAGTCTAGCTATCCAGCTCCAATAAAGTTTAGATGAGCATTGGCTACATTTAAAAGACTCCAGAAAAAGGACAATTATAGATACATGTAGCTTCGAAAAATGTTACACTAATAAACACTGTCTGTTAGCTCTCTACAACGTCTTGAAGCTCGTTGATGTATTCCAGCAAACAAGTTGCAGAGGCTCTTAAGGAACTTAAAGTGACCGAGACTTGCCATATTTCTTGGCCTGAAGGCAGCATTTGACTCTGTTGACCATGGTGTTGTGGCAGTGTTTGACTGTGAAGAGAGTACCCAGTAAGTATACAACGCTTATCGCCAGTGATTTGTGTCTAATGTCACACAAACTTGAAGAACTACAAGTGAAAACTAACAAGTTGACAGAAGAGGCAGGGTAACGAAGACGGGACTTTAAGTTAAAGTAGAGAAGATAGAGGTGATGAAGATATCGCACCAACAACTCCAACAACAACAATAAACTCCAATCACCATCAACAGGAGAAACTTAAAGGGAGTAACCTCCTTCACCTATTTAGGAGGCACTGTTTCAACTACAGGCGGCACAGTTGAGGACGTCAAAGCCAGCCAGGATCGGAAAAGCAAGACAGGCGCTCATTAGCCTGAAACCAGTGTGGAGATCTTCTGCACTCAGCACAAAGAACAACATCCGGATTTCCAACACCAACGTCAAGTCAGTGCTCCTATATGGTTCAGAGACTTGGCGCGTTACGAAACGGATTTCCAACCAACTGCAGACATTCATCAACAACTGCCTACGCTGGCTCGATACTGAAGCTCAGATGGCTAGAAAGAATAAGCAACAAGGAACTCTGGTTGGGCAACGAACCAACCAAGAACATATCACTCAACAAATATGCAGAAGAAAGTGGAAATAGATTGAATTTGGCATACGCTGAGAAGGCCGACTGGGGACATCACGCGCCATGCCAGCTCTCGAGTGGAACCCAAAGAGGAAACGGCGAGTTAGGCGTCCCAGCTGAGGGTGACATGGAGATCATGTGTGGATAAAATGAGAGCTTGTGGGCTGTCGTGGAGCGAGGTTCAAAAGTTTGCAGAGAACAGAGTGCACTGGAGACGTGCTACTGAAGCACTATATTCCACTATGAACCCAAGGGACAAATAATAATCATATAATCAAACCATTCTACTCAAAACTCATGCTGTCATGTAAGGGCTTGTAGAGAGTTGTCATCGGAACTGACGACAACTAGCGGTGTCCACCAAAGATGCCTACTGTCACCGTTCCCATATTGGTCTTCGTCATAGACGTACTACTGGACATAACCTTAGGTACGTCTGACTTCACCATACTCACCATAGGTTATTTAGTTGGTTTTTAGTATGCAGACGATATTGTCACAATTGTGAAGACGCAGAGCTTCCTGCCGACTGCCTCCAACCAACTGACATCTACTAATGTGCACCGCGATGCTGAGCTTCCTAGCTTGGTTGCCACATTGCAAATATGATCGATAGAATTCGGTCTGCACTCAGGACTAGACAACATGAAATTGGTTGCACTCCCATGACCAATCAATACATACTGAACCACTGAATTGCATAGTGCTTCTACAAAGTTAACAGAAGCCTGTCTCTACACATGTCTTGGGTGGTGAATCACTGGAAGCTACCAAAAAGTTTGTGTAACTGTTGGTGAGTGCTAATGAAGGTGTAAATGATGAGGTTCAAAACTTTATGTCGAAAGCCAGAGTAGCATACGTCAATCTGAGCCACCTTTGGAGCCGTCACGATGTCAACCTTCCTTGAAAAGTCGAGTATACAACGCGTCTGTACAGGCTGTTCTGTACTACGCTTGTGAAAACTTACCTCTCCGAAGATGACTCAACGTTTTCAATCACCGTTGTCTCTCCAGGACTGCCCATATGTGATGGAAACACCGTAATGAATCCTGAGATAAGGTGGTGTGTATTTAATAATGATGGGGGTCGTCATTCCTTGAGTGTGATCATTTCGGAACACCGGTTTTGGTGGCTCGGGCATTTATTACGCACGTTGTGTTAGCGGCTCTCACCAGGAACTTTTCACTTGCCCTCGAATTGGCTGCAAGAAGGAGAGAGGTGGCAAACGTGTGACGTGGAACCATAGGATGAATGATAGTTTTGCCAGGTTAGCATCTGAAGGTACCTCAATATTTCCTAGATGGGGTCCGAGGGTTCATGAAACTCAATGATTCGAAATGATAGTATATATGGGTTCAGAATAGAAACCAGTGGCGATAGTGCTACAGTGTCCATGTTTCGTCTATTACTCAAAAGTAGGACGAAAGTAGTGAGTGTTTCCTTGGATGTACACCACGACTGCTTCTTTAATAGCCCACTTCTGCTTTTGTTTCCATTCTGTCTTCCGTTTTCTGCATCTTCGTAATGTTCCTCTACTATTTTGCAGCGCATATCTCTTGGCTCTAATGCTGTACCAAGTTTTCATTCCAATAAATATAATACAAAAACGTCCGTTACCACTGTAAGAAAGTGCTTTGAATAACCACCTGAGTACAACCACTCTTTGCTCCACGGTTTCATGTTAAAATTAACCAACCACTTCATCTTTCCTATCTGTGAATTAGTCAAGAAAATTAGATACTCAAGGAATCAGGTCAGTATACCCAACCACTAAGGCAGTAAACCAAAGAAATCAACCTCAATGAGGAACAATCTGTCACTCATCAAGAAAAAGATCACGTGACTGTGAACTTTGACATTAATGTTGCCAGCCCTTAAAGTAAAATTGGTCGGATGTTGTCGAATGTTACTGCTTTACAACTACTGTTTCTTGATCTGATGGTGCGGCGGATGTCACTGAGTTTTATCTTTGATCCCTTTATTACACACTATGAAATTGCCAGAACGCTGGTTCTATCTACCAATAAGGGTACACCAGCTGACTGACAAAGAAGAAAGGTATAATCTGCCAACCTGAAATCGAAAACTTGATACCGAATTTCACTAACGAACAATAAAAAAAGAATAAAACAAAACAATCCATCCTGGATTTTCGGACTTTTGTCTATAATGACAATAACAATAAAGTTTGAAACAGTTTGTCCCTTTTGTGAATTTCGATAGCGTAATTAGAAGACGAAGTTTATTTGAGCAATGTGATGTATTTGTGCAATACATTTCGAAATGTATTGCACAAATACATCACATTGCTCAAATAAACTTCGTCTTCTAATTACGCTATCGAAAATAACAATAAAGGATCTCTCTGCATGCTGCCTTTATATAATCAATACCATTAGTCATAAACAGATATGCGATCCTTCATGTTTAAAATATAGACAACAGGAAATAACTAGCAAACTTGAGAATAGTGGTTGTAAAATAAATCAACATTTTTTAGTAACGAAGTATGTTATCATAACTGAGTCAAAAACACTTTCAATGTTCAACTTTTATGAACCTCTTACTATCTTCAAAACTCATACGTAGAGACAAAAGGCAGTATCATTATATCCACGTGCGCAACCCTACCACTCGGTCACAACAATTGGCGACGGGGATTGTTTGGTTGACAATGTCTATCTCGTTGGATGATCTTAAATCGATTTTACAACTGCAGCAGGCTCAAAATGAAGCAGCTCAAATGGAATTAATTGAAGCCCTTACTCAAAAATTTTCAAGTCAAATGCCTTCAGCATCCCATTCAGATAAATATGAAAGCATTTCCAATTCTGTCAATGAGTTTAATTATGATCCTATGTCTGGCCTCATTTTCGATTCATGGTTTAATCGCTATGAAGATGTCTTTCGTATTGAATGCTTCAAATTTGGTGATGCAGCCAAAGTTCGTCTATTATTGCGCAAACTTGGCACTGTTGAACACAACAAATATGTCAATTTTATTTTGCCGAAAAATCCCCGTGAGTTATTTCTTGATGAAACAGTTGGTGTTCTTTCTCAGATATTAGGCAAACAGTCATCCCTGTTTAATATTCGTTATCAATGTTTTCATTGTCTCAATTACCTGCTGATGATTATCTGACGTATGTTGGTAAAGTAAATCGAGAATGCGAGAGGTTTAAGCATAATGAAATGACGGCGGACCAATTTAAATGTCTAATCTTTATTTGTGGTTTGCAGAACCCTGAAGATGCCGATATTCGGACCAGAATTCTGTCACGCATAGAGCAAGATCCGAAAATGACACTGCAGATGGTGAAAGCTGAATGCCAACGCTTGATCAATCTGAAGCATGATGCAGATATAGTACAGCAAAAGTCCCAGCCGTCTGATTTGGTTTCAGTCAATGCAGTGAAAACCCCACACTCTACAGCCAAGCACATGCAACGTAAATCAAAATCGTCAGGCAAACCTCCTACTGTCAAACCTCCTTCAGTTTGCTGGTATTGTGGTTCATGGCATCTTGTAAAGTTTTGTCCCTTCAAGATGCACAAATGCCAACAGTATCACCGTTTTGGACACAAAGAGGGTTACTGTCCCGCAAATACAAATGCTCCTATGCGGACAAAACGTCCTTTTGTCAAACCGAAATCACCCAGCAAAATTCAAGGTATCTACACGACTTCCAGAGCTGATGTTAGGAACAAAAGAAGATATGTCAATCTATCTGTTGATGGTAAACCTATTCATCTGCAGCTGGATACAGCATCTGATATTACTTTAGTTTCTCGAAACACATGGTGCACACTTGGGTGCCCACAGGTCCAGCCAACTGACCATATCGCTAGGAATGTTTCTGGAGATATCCTAAAACTGGTCGGTGAGATTAGTTGCCATATTCAGTTGGGTGATCCTAAATTCAATGACGTCGGTTACCTAACAAATCGTCATGATTTAGACGTACTTGGTTTGGATTGGATTCACAAACTTGATATCTTGAATGTTCCATTAAATTCAATATGTTCTGATACGTCACCCTCTCATAACGAGGTTTCATCTTGTAAGCCGGATAAGTCTAATTCAGAACACTCGCTCCAGAGGCATGCATCATTCTCTGTTGCAGACGATGTATTAAAGGTAAGGGGGGAAGAGGCGACGAAGAAATTTTTTGAGCGTTTCGCTGTCTCACCCTACGGAAGCATATCATCAGCCCCGAGTCAGTTATCGCCTGCAGAAGGCCAAAGCACTTCCAAACGGACCATAAAAAGAAGTCGTACACTCTTTACTGGGGGAGGTGAAACGTAGCGACAAGAAGGCAGCCAATAGGGGAGTTGTTTTCAAGTCATGATCAGATCATTTTCAGGGCATGATTTATGCATACACTGACATGAGAACCTGACTGGAGAAAGTCAACCTCATACAGGAAATCTGATTAGTTCATTTATGGCTTCACTTTCCGAGAGTTTTGTAAATACAAATATGCCATGTATCTGCCTAATAAAGGTTGTCGCTGTTCTTGGAGTCACAGGCCGTCTTTGTCTTCTGATTTCTCCGCGGTTCAGTGAAGCAGAAGGTACTGATGGAGGTCAGTCATAAAGGTATTCGGTTGAGGTGTCTATTGAATCTCAGTTTCATTATATCCACGCGCGCAACCGCACCACTTGGTCACAACAAAGACTGCTTATAACAAAACCCTGATATGAAAAACAAACAGAGTAATGTCATATGACAGCTACATAAACTCACTACTTTTGTGGAAAGAAACAGATAAGTACCTGTATGTCAGCAGTTGCATGTATTCAAAGTTTACAGTTACTTGTACTCTACAAACTCTACAAGTTGACTTACTGTTAACATAGGTTTCAGTTGCACTCGATGACGAATTCACTAACTGGAAGTAAACTGAGTCCAAGGATTCTCGTAAAGCAACTCTAAACCCAACAAGGTAGACATGAAACTTCTCCAACTAAACAGCAGTAACTCAACTGGTGTTTTGTGGCGATTGATTTTAAGGTAGTTTTTATCACGGACTCATATTAGTTGGGGAACTAATGAAAACCGAAGAGCATCCGGCAGCTGTTACGTCTACGTGTGAGACTCATCATCAGTATGCAAGGTCGACCTCACGAAAGATCAAGTACAAAGCCATCAGGTCTTACGGTGATCGCATTATTACACAGCTAGTGGGGTGGAATACAATGGGTCCACCCAATGTTTCAGTGAAAAGCGGTAGCTTGTGAGGTCAACTAAGTCAGTGTAAGGATAAACACTCACCGACAGCATTGCACAACGGTCACGATATTACAAACTGAAAGAGGTATAAGAATGAGGAACACTGGATCCCAACCCCATACCTAAATTGTAACCTGCAGGCCATGAAATCTGAAGGCTATGAGTTAGATCCACCTCTAGGTCATGCGTGCGAACTGCTGAAGAGTCCCATAACATGATGAAACGGCCGTTTAGCGCTGTCAGGTTTTCAATGGTTCCCCAGCTGATGTCAGTCTATAGTGGGAACTAGTTGAAACGGGAATAAATTGTGGATGAAAAGATATACCTCAGAACTACGGCCCCAACTTATGTTCCATCTGCGAAATTGCTCAACTCACATTACTACTGCTTCAACAAAAACCCTCCATGTAACACTTTTACAACTACGTTTTCATATTGTTGTGTACTTGTTGCATTTCTGTCTTTCTTCCCAGTAAGAATTTTGTGTCTCGCTGACTAGTTAATGATTTGATGGCGAAACTGACTGTCCGAAAATCCGGCAAAGTTACATCATGATCACGAAGTGCGGGCAATTGGACGAACTTCACTAGTTGGTGATAGAATACAAGTGGAAGTGTTGCTACTCGAATTCAAGAATAGCGATTTTTAACGCGAAATGTACACAAAATTATTGGTTACTGCATACAGTCGTGAAAAAATAAGTTGAGGAAAAAATACTGCATGTGACAGAAGTACTTCTGTATTTACAAGACAAGTGATTACCAATTTTTTCCCATCACAATTTCCAAAATCCAAAACGTAGAGTTCCGACACTGTTATCTTATGGAGACTAATGGGCTTGGATTTCTCCAGGTATTTGGAAAATTAACAGTTGTGAGACGATCAGATCCAAGATTATCTTCAGTTACTTTAGGCGGCTGACGTCTACCATTTTCCTTCGAATTATTATGACTGACTATAACTAAAGGTGCTTCATACCTCAACGAAGTTACATGTCGTTACTGAGTTGGATTCAAATCTGATCAGTTGCTAAAATGGTCAACTTAGCAGCGACATATTTGAAACCTTGCAAACAACAAAAGCGCTCAGAAATAAGTTTCGTACGGAAGGTCTCATGCAATGAATACTGCAACTCACCGAAAAGTAAATGTGGTTGTTTATATTATCAATTTACAAGTTCTAGAGATAAAAGTCCAAGCGCATCAACTACCCACTGGCGGTTGAGTCAGCTCTTTGTAACACTAAATGTCGGAAAATAAATCTTTATTACTCCTATCTTTTCTACGAACTTTTTACAATTCATTTTATGATTGTATTCTTTCCCAATACTTCCTCCACACTCACTTTCATATCTCCCAATGAATCATTATGATCACGACCAACCAACTTCTTTGATATAAAGGAGGTTGCAAATGTAAATGTTCACCACAAAACAGGACCATCGAAATGAGACAGTAACAAAATCAACTTCACCGAAACCGAAATACTCCAGCAAATACAGCTGTCACTGGAAAATAAACACAAAACTAACTGTAACCATAACAAAAAATGTAATTACATGAACAATCGATAGAAATTAAAAATACCCAGAAATTTTTAAATGAGGAAACTCAACGTCTTTCTAACCTTATTACTGAGGTCTATTTCAGCATCCCGTTCAAGGCGATCATCATAGCCATTCCAGTAAGACACTGATACAATACTTGCAAATGATCGGACAATATAGTGCCCAACATTTAGTATAACGACAGGCGGAAAGAGACGCCAAACAGGCAACAAACGTGAAGTTGCAATTGGAATGCCTCTAACAGTAGGTCCACTGCGAAACATGGAACCTCGTGAACCTAATCTTGGAGATGAAGGCATGTGAAATAAGCGATAGAATCCATCGCGTACACACGAGATAAGTGTCGCCGGTTCGGAGGCTTTATCAGACTGTAGTCACGTTGTTAGAAAAAAAGATAAGCAAACGAAATATAGTGAGAAAAAGAATGGACGAAATTACTTTATAAATTTTGAATAAACTACTACATGTTAAGTGTCTGCATCTTAACAACCGCGGAAACAGTCTTATAATAGGCTACAAGTCACACAGTGAGAAAGCTGTTGATATTATCTTGACGAACAAATCTAGTTGGTGGAAGTTAGGTTTGAACGTGCAACTTCATGGCTAAAAGTACATTGGTTAGACCGTAGCTACTCTAAAACAGCACGAAATACTTAGACGTCGGGAACGTGCTGGTGTACCAGAGTGTCTTAGACGTTTAGTATGAAAGCCGAAGACACTGTCCAACTTCACAAAACCAATGATGGGAAACCAACAAGGACTTGTCATCAGATGACGTTAAGCAAAGTGCTGAAACCAACTGACCACACGTCTAGACAATATGTTTCTTAAGATTATTTTGTACAATAGCGGTTTATGTTATTTTGTTATTGTAATGTACTACTAACAAAAGCATGTAATTAGATGATAGATGGTAATCAAACACCATGAACATGAGGCTAAATCAAGAGCTAAATTTAATAAACATGATGTAGTTGTCTGACTGCTAGTACTGTATATATGTACAGTAGGTATCATACTTTACATAACAGTTCACTATGTCTTGGCCAGTGTAGCGCGGTTAGTACGCGAACTCATCTACGGTAAACTATTCGCTTAGAAATATTGCGGATGCGTAGCGCAGGTGGATGATAAAATAACTGGTGATTTTACTGCACTGTGTAAATATTTGTTATAATCGTATAAATATTGTCATTATTATGTTGCTGCTTGCATTATTCCGATATGACCACCCTCTACTGGCATATGGCTAATGCGCGGATGCCTTAATATCGCCTCTTGTTTTAATTTTACGGTAATAATGAAAAGTGGCTAGTAATGGGGTCCAGGACGCGCGTTCCGTCCCATTTGGAAATCATCAGCTTCATGTACCTGCCTCCCAGTGAGCGATGTTGTTCCCACTACACATCACTATTATAAAACTGAAACGACAGCCAATATCGAGGAATCCGTGCAGGAACCCATATGTAAACATAAGCCGACCAATTCGGTCCAACCAACGACGGGATAATAAAAGCAACAACATAAAAACTATACCTGTCGCACAAAAAGCGGATATCATGACTCGGTGGCCTAGTGGATAACGTTCTGGCGTTTGAAGCGATGAGTATGATGTTCGAGTCTCAGTGGAAACAAATCACTCACTGGGGTGCAGGTACACCCAACTGACGAGTCCCAAATAAAACGAAACGCGCGTCCTGGATTCTGCTGTCAGCCACTATCCATCGATAATATAATACTGTCATTTATTCTATAGTTTAACTGAGTAGTATAACAAGTGTAAATTGTGAGGACAAATAGGGGGACGTGTTGGTTGTACTGACGACCACAAAAGCTTGAAAGTGAATCTTACAACTGTACCATGAAGGGTTAAAATCTGTTCAAAGCTGGCAACTTAACAGCTGATTACAGACATACATGATAATGTACAGCAAGCAGTGTAACAGTCCAGTGGATGGCTAGATACACTCATTGCATCGTGGATAATTGCACTGACTAGTTGCGAAAATTTTTGTGGGTAAAACGAATCTCAAATTATGACAACTAGCTAATATACCACATTAGCATCAGATAAAAAAAGTTGACAAGTAATAACAGACAATGTTATCTTTGTATTTCATGGGACAATAAAGACAACGAAGAAAGAAGACTCCTACCGCTGATTCTTAGTGTCTATACTTACGCACCCACCAACTACAATTTAAATGAAGTGGGAGATCAGTCCTACCCAAAACTATTTAGTTTACTACTACTACAAGCAAAACATTCAGTTATGGTTTTTGAAGCGGACAACATCAAAGCACGAACATGAAGGCTGAGGGAAACAGACTTATTCAGATGTTACTTTCGGAATCCCAGCCAAACAAACAGATGACGGCTATCACCTATGACAACTGCACTCACTCTTAAAAGCATGGATTTCAAACATAAAAGAGGATCTGTCTGACGTAAAATTAATCAACTTCAACTCAGTGGTGGACATAGGTAGTTCATGTCGCTATCAGTTATAGCTGGAAGGTTAGTAGACGATTGCAACTCATTTAAAAGCACGTGGTTGGTAGTAGTCACGTACTAATCTGGGCGGAAGTTAATATAATTAAATAGGAGTAGAAAACTGAAACTGGAAGGACTTGAAGAGTCAACGATGAGGATGTTAAGATTTCTTTCAAACCAGAACCGGAAAGCCAGTTATCAGAACATGAAGTTATTTATCTTGAGGTCTGATATCATCTTCAGTCTTCTGCAAGAACAATGATGAATGCCGTAAGTGACACTCAAAGTGAGTAAGTGAGAACCAAGAGACTGCAAAAGATTCATTCGAATTCCGAAAACAAGTTAACGCACTTCTCAGAAGGTTTCGAATGCAATGAGCGCAAACAGCTCATATATACACTGATAAGGAGTCTAAATAACGGCCATACATAGATATACATAATCAATGTAGAAACTCACAAGAGCCCATCGGTTCACGTCTATGAGCAGTAGTAGGTAAGGAAGAATAAAGAAATACATAAGGCAACAGTCATAGGCAAAAGCAGAAAGTTATTTAGCCTTATCAAGAGGACTAGACTGTAATATTCAAAGTTCAATAAGATTATAACGGAGAAAGATGGGTCTGCAAAGGAGAAATGGAAAGTGTTGTAAGGCACCAGTTTGTACAAAACGTTATCGATCTGAACATTTTTAACTTGGCATTCTCACACCACTTTACAGTATGACTAGTAGTTTAATTTCTGCCCAAAACTGTAATATAATTCGCTGATTGGTTAACTTTTACTCTTACTATGCGAATATCTCCAATTGCGGACAAGGTCATATTTTATGTGTTTACTTATTCACGTGTTTTGGATTGAATGATTATTATATATATATATATATATATATATATATATATATATATATGAACAGAACAATTAGAGGAACAGTTCAACGCCCTCAAGTACTTTCCGATTACCTGATATTCAGCAGCTTTTTGAGCAGAAAAATGTGTTAGGGTCGTCAGCTCCTTCAAAAGTTGGAAAAGCTGTGATTATCATTTTGACTATCTGAGACTGCCATGGTTTAGCAGACTAGTATTTGTACTGGGTGGTGATTGGAGGTGAAATTTTTTTGGACCGCGGCCAGATTCGCACCAGCAACCACCGGGTTTACGGCCTGGTGCTCCCACCTCGTAGCTCAGTTGGCAGAGCATTGGGCCGGAAACCCGATAGTCGCTTGTTCGAATCCGGCCACGGTCCAAATTTCCATTTCACTTTCAACCATCACCCAGTATAAAGCTGTAATTAACCTGAAAAGACGAATCACAACAGGTCTTAACGGGCTTGTACGAGAAATATCTGAGAGCAGCGGTCTGGCTGTATAAATTTGACTGAAATATTACCTGACATGTGAGAATCAGACACGATCACCTCTAACTAGTCTAAATCAGTGACTGCCCGTCTCCAGGACAGCAAAAATGTCCTGTCGTGATAACCACAGACAAATCAGCCTCATGAACATGATGCTAGGTTTCGTGACCACCAAACGTTTGAGAGAAACTGAAGAACAGAAAACCCGAGAAAATCAAACAGGTTTCAGATTTGACCGTCAATGCATCGACCAGATTTTCACTCTGTCAGATGTTAAGATGCAGGAAAATTATTTAGAACACAAACCTGGGATAACATAGGTTTCATCATGTTATAGTAGACTTTAGTGGACCTAGAGTAAACAGATACTACATTTTTTTACGTACAGAGTTTGACAAGCTGCAAAGTCTTACATACACTAATTGATAATTTAAGAATGTTTGGGATGCGTCTCTCTCAACAACCCATTTCCTTTATCGTAAAGATAAAATGATCCAAGCACAAAATTATGCCATCATGTCTGACAGACTTTAAGAGAAACACATGAAAACGGGGCACATTAAACACATATGTACAATATATCTCACCTGAACAACCTCGACAATACTTGCCGCGTAAAAAGGAGTAACAATGACCCATGAACAACTGCAATAGAAAAAAATCGAAATAGGATACTTACACCTTAAGCAGTAAATGTCCTAGCAAGCGTTTGTAGGAACTTGATCTAGAAACTTCCCTGAAAAAATATTTCCGAGGATGAGAATTTACTTAGGTAATGATGTGATTTCACAAACTAGATTTTCAGTCATGTAATTTAATCCACGCACGATAAAAACACTACCCAATCCTTTAGAAAGAAATGAAAAACCCTTCAGATGATAAACGCTTATTTTCCAAGACTTTACTTGGGACTGTATGCATTTTCGGACAACCGGTAGGAGAGTAAACGGCGTTAAGTGATGACACTGACGCGAACCCATCACTTGACACTGGTTTCTTATGACAACGAAGGGGTGTGACAACAATATCTCCATGAGCATACTAAACATAATATAGGTTTTTTTTTGTCCGGATTTACCTGGCAAAACCGATTCCAAACCCAGTGAGGGCAGGATTAATGTCTAGAAATAATCATATCGTGAAACAACACAAACCATTGCCAGCGACTATAGATTTTTCATCCAGTGATTCTTCATGATGTTCTTCGGTCTCCGAATTTACTACGTTGGACGGTAAGGATCCGTCCTGAACTAGCCTGAATTCTAAGTGTTTAAGGCGCTCGGAATACATCACTCGATGTAACGCTACACATAAAAGATTGACGAACATGTTCAATATCCAATACCCAAAGTGTGTTATACGAGCTTCTAACATGCAACTTCAACAGTGCGAGTTGCTTTTAGTTCTCGATCTTTCGCATTTGGCTTCTGGTTATTGCTGTTCTGTTCCACCTCTAAATTGTGTAAGGAAATTTCTACTTTCCTGCTTTTCTTTCAGATACGGTGTGTTTAATATGAGTTTGTACCTGCAGCATATTGATTGAGTTGGTTTAGGAACCTATAGCTTGTTTGGAAGATCAGGAGTCTTAAGTGATTTCTGTTCGTACACTTTTTTGAATGGAATAACAGAACAGTGAGAAGACATATGGGATGCTCCCGAAGAGTGAAAGTAGATAGCATGAGTATGATGACCGAACAGAAGCTTGAAGACAAAGCAGGCAAGTTAGAATGAACATGATATTATCAATAAATGGCAGCAATCTGCTGGTGACCTGGCGAAGAGCAAATGATACCCGTAGGGCCCTGAGTGCCTGCTGGCAAGCCATCCGAACAAACATAGCTTTCAAGCCCTTCTAGGAATGAGTCCACTGAGAGAACCCCCACACTGAAGCACTTGTAAGACACGTAATCTTAGGCATGTAAGTCTGGCTCGAGCCCGGTGTTGTCTCTCTGGCGTACTGTTCTCTGTGGTGACCGATGTGTTACGGACAAGGATAGTTTGTTCCGATGACTAGCTTGAAATATAGCCTTACTGGACATAATAAAGTCACTACTCTTTCTATGATAGCCTGCGGTAAGTATGTTAAAGCGTCTCAGTCCGATGAAATATATCTTTCCCCTATGTCAGACAATTTTTCGGTCATCTCTGTTCGCTATCATTAGATAATGTTGTAGATTGTTTGAATGGCTTTACTTGCTCTGGAAAATACAAAAAACTAGTAGCAAAGCTACATCCATATCAGATCATTTAGCTATAGATCAACTTTAAGGCGGCTTTAAAGTCTGTGACATGATATCACAGCTAAAATGCAGGACTAAATTGCTTCGCGATCAAAGTTGTTAATAACCTGTTCCATGGGCCAAGCATCACCACTTGCCACGTGACATAAAGCATTCATTGACTTGTGGGGGTGAAGTCATTTACATCAAATAGCTGGTTGTCATTACGGATCGTATATATTGGATTGGCAAACCTCCACTTGTTTCAAAAATCTTGAAATCATCTCAAGCTTACAGGACTGCTACCTCAAAGAGAAAGATGTAGATGCACTGCAGGTGGGCTGTGGCCCACACTTAAAAATATGGCTGAGAGGTTTCATGAGAAGTAGGTCTCTCTACAGACATGCAGATCACTAACAGACCTGGATATCTCTGCAGCATGCTTGCTGTACTGAAAAAACCCCGGCCACACCAGTCACCATCTATGACTGAGTGGCATTCGCAAGAGGTCTGACTGAGGAAATGCAAAGGTTAGCAGCCGATGGAGACTCTTGTTAGCGGCAGAAATCGACACAACAGCCATTTGTTATATGTAATCAACGCATGTGCTGGGATTTGTCACCCGACTAATTGGCGAGAAGAGATTAGTTTGCACCCACCAACCTTCAATGACGTCATGAAGTACAATCCAAATTTGACCATTAAAACCTTGAACGCATCTAGGCCACAAACTCAATGAGGCTATGTACAACCCACTTTTCACAAACCACAATATTAGTAAAAAAAGCTTTTCCCTTTATCCGGACCGTGGCTTTTCCGTGTCGATCTATCCTCCTGGTGAACCACAAGAACCATATTCCTTTGAATGGTAGAACTCAAACACCAATCTAAGGTATACTAAACGAGACCACGCTTAGGAATCCTGTTATTTCAGCCAAAATGTGATTCGGCTCCAAAGTTAAAACAACCGATATTCGTTGAAGCAGAGCTGAAAAATATCATGCGTAACATTATGATATTCGAGGCCCTATAGTTTTGAAAACAGCACAAACATGCTGTTTACAACTCCAGGCAGCTCACAGTGAACTCTTTGGAGTTTGCCAATTCATTATTCTCTAATCCACTAGTCCTTAATTCTCCCCTTTTCCCATCGAATATGGTCGTCGGTGCAATCCTGAATTACTCTGCAGGCGAAAATCATCAGTTACCATTGAAAGTTTTCTGAAAACTTCAGCTTTCAAAGTGGAGACAAGTGGAGACTATGACGGGACTTACGCGCTTCGTTCCTTAAAGTGAAGCATTTTGGATGTAAAGTTTCGAAGAGACGATAAGGAAACTACACCGATTACAACCCTTAACATGAGCCACTCACGCTGCGCACAACACTCACTAAATGAGAGGAGCTCAATAGATATGCCTCGTTCCACACTTAATGTTCTCCATGGGTGACAGCAAAGTAGTTGATACTATATCAAACACAACATTGAACAGAATAGCAACCAGGATAGCCAAATTCGTCAAAGTGGCAAACTCTAAGCAAACAGGTCGGAATTAGATGAATTACCAGGTTCTAATCCCGTATTATTCCGAACAACTAGAGTAAATCTGGGTGGTTTCTCTTTAGTATGTGAAACTTCTGCTGACAAAATGCAAGCATCTGCTAATACCAGCTAATTCTGTCTTTTTAGAACGGAGATGTCCCTGTGACGAAAGTGAGTGGAATTGCACGGCATTATGCTGTAGCGTAACACACTCCCCCAAAATCAATAGCCTAGGGTTTGACGACTTTCGACATTAATGCTGACCTTGATAGTTTAACTGGCCTCGCTAGGCTGAAGGCACCCGGTCAAGCATCGTTTTGAAAACAGCACAAACATGCTGTTTACAACTCCAGGCAGCTCACAGTGAACTCTTTGGAGTTTGCCAATTCATTATTCTCTAATCCACTAGTCCTTAATTCTCCCCTTTTCCCATCGAATATGGTCGTCGGTGCAATCCTGAATTACTCTGCAGGCGAAAATCATCAGTTACCATTGAAAGTTTTCTGAAAACTTCAGCTTTCAAAGTGGAGACAAGTGGAGACTATGACGGGACTTACGCGCTTCGTTCCTTAAAGTGAAGCATTTTGGATGTAAAGTTTCGAAGAGACGATAAGGAAACTACACCGATTACAACCCTTAACATGAGCCACTCACGCTGCGCACAACACTCACTAAATGAGAGGAGCTCAATAGATATGCCTCGTTCCACACTTAATGTTCTCCATGGGTGACAGCAGAGTAGTTGATACTATATCAAACACAACATTGAACAGAATAGCAACCAGGATAGCCAAATTCGTCAAAGTGGCAAACTCTAAGCAAACAGGTCGGAATTAGATGAATTACCAGGTTCTAATCCCGTATTATTCCGAACAACTAGAGTAAATCTGGGTGGTTTCTCTTTAGTATGTGAAACTTCTGCTGACAAAATGCAAGCATCTGCTAATACCAGCTAATTCTGTCTTTTTAGAACGGAGATGTCCCTGTGACGAAAGTGAGTGGAATTGCACGGCATTATGCTGTAGCGTAACACACTCCCCCAAAATCAATAGCCTAGGGTTTGACGACTTTCGACATTAATGCTGACCTTGATAGTTTAACTGGCCTCGCTAGGCTGAAGGCACCCGGTCAAGCATCGTTTTGAAAACAGCACAAACATGCTGTTTACAACTCCAGGCAGCTCACAGTGAACTCTTTGGAGTTTGCCAATTCATTATTCTCTAATCCACTAGTCCTTAATTCTCCCCTTTTCCCATCGAATATGGTCGTCGGTGCAATCCTGAATTACTCTGCAGGCGAAAATCATCAGTTACCATTGAAAGTTTTCTGAAAACTTCAGCTTTCAAAGTGGAGACAAGTGGAGACTATGACGGGACTTACGCGCTTCATTCCTTAAAGTGAAGCATTTTGGATGTAAAGTTTCGAAGAGACGATAAGGAAACTACACCGATTACAACCCTTAACATGAGCCACTCACGCTGCGCACAACACTCACTAAATGAGAGGAGCTCAATAGATATGCCTCGTTCCACACTTAATGTTCTCCATGGGTGACAGCAGAGTAGTTGATACTATATCAAACACAACATTGAACAGAATAGCAACCAGGATAGCCAAATTCGTCAAAGTGGCAAACTCTAAGCAAACAGGTCGGAATTAGATGAATTACCAGGTTCTAATCCCGTATTATTCCGAACAACTAGAGTAAATCTGGGTGGTTTCTCTTTAGTATGTGAAACTTCTGCTGACAAAATGCAAGCATCTGCTAATACCAGCTAATTCTGTCTTTTTAGAACGGAGATGTCCCTGTGACGAAAGTGAGTGGAATTGCACGGCATTATGCTGTAGCGTAACACACTCCCCCAAAATCAATAGCCTAGGGTTTGACGACTTTCGACATTAATGCTGACCTTGATAGTTTAACTGGCCTCGCTAGGCTGAAGGCACCCGGTCAAGCATCGTTTTGAAAACAGCACAAACATGCTGTTTACAACTCCAGGCAGCTCACAGTGAACTCTTTGGAGTTTGCCAATTCATTATTCTCTAATCCACTAGTCCTTAATTCTCCCCTTTTCCCATCGAATATGGTCGTCGGTGCAATCCTGAATTACTCTGCAGGCGAAAATCATCAGTTACCATTGAAAGTTTTCTGAAAACTTCAGCTTTCAAAGTGGAGACAAGTGGAGACTATGACGGGACTTACGCGCTTCATTCCTTAAAGTGAAGCATTTTGGATGTAAAGTTTCGAAGAGACGATAAGGAAACTACACCGATTACAACCCTTAACATGAGCCACTCACGCTGCGCACAACACTCACTAAATGAGAGGAGCTCAATAGATATGCCTCGTTCCACACTTAATGTTCTCCATGGGTGACAGCAAAGTAGTTGATACTATATCAAACACAACATTGAACAGAATAGCAACCAGGATAGCCAAATTCGTCAAAGTGGCAAACTCTAAGCAAACAGGTCGGAATTAGATGAATTACCAGGTTCTAATCCCGTATTATTCCGAACAACTAGAGTAAATCTGGGTGGTTTCTCTTTAGTATGTGAAACTT